GGGAGGCGGCACCGCGGCCCTGGGCGACGGGCAGCGACGGAGCTACGGGCCGTGCCTCCCCACCCGCCACCGCAGCGGCGCCTTTGCGTTCACATGGAGGGGAAAAGGCAGGGGAGGAAGAAAGGAAAGAAGGAAGAAATTAACAACTAAACCAAATGCTCCAAGCAATGCAGTCAGTTGCAGAACATCGTCTGAGGGACACACCACTGAGACACACCACTGAATACGTGGCTTTACATGAATGGCTTCTCACTAATTCTGTGTCTCTGGTCTCACACTCCAGGTATGTCCGCACAAAAACGAAAATGCAGTCGCTCTATTGATAAGCAAATACAGAGGCTGTAAAAGCAACAAAGACATGGCAGCAAGGGTTTCACTATGAACAAGCTACCTGAGCACACACTCATGGTCCCACTGCACAGCCAAGGCATCCCACCTTCACTGCTGCTTCTTCCAAGGCTAGCCTGGGCACCCTACTGAAGGGCAATCTCACCTCTAATCCCAAAACAGATCTGCTCAGCAGTGGGGTTTCTCCCTGCCCTCCTGATCTGCTTTGTGACACCAAATCCAGTGGAGATGTTTGGTGGTGTTTCTGTCTGTACTTCAGCCCTGCATTTACAGCACACACCCTCTAAGGACGGAGAATGGACCAGGTCCCTGTGGACCCACATCACCATGTCCAGTGGCAGGATCAGGCTGCTGGGTTCAGATAGACTGTGCCTCTGATGGGTGCAGGATGGGGATGCAGATAAATGCCAAGTAACCCCAGATCAAGGTTGGCCATGTACAACAGATGGCAAAAAAAAACCCACAAAGAAAACAACAGATGGGCAGGAATTTAAAGGGATCTGGAAGGCTGTATGAAGGGAGAACCTATGCATCTGTGCTTATGCACTGGAAAGACCACAATGGGTTTTTAATGGCAGGGTGAGGGCCCCTGGCTCTCACTGTAAGCCAGCAGCAATTCAATTGCTTTGGATGAATCTAAACAGAAGTGTATTAGCATTGAAGGTGTCATCCACAGTGCCCCCAGCACTCCTTTGCAACTTGCTGTGTTTCAGCCAGGTAAAGATGAAAGAGATGCCATGTACTCCACATGCAGCAGGGCTGGCCATGGACCCTTCCTGCCAGGAGGAGCACAGTGAGCCACAGCACTAGAAGAAGCCCACCTCTCTGCTGATCCCTGCAAGAAAAAGGGATCACCCACAAGTTTTCAGCCAAATATACCTGGCTTCCAAGGAGTGCTTTCAACTGGAGGGGACTCCAGATGAGACCAGAGGTGGTGCATGACTGCCAAACGGTCCCATTAGGTTAGCATAAAATCAGATTTCCCTTGTCATTCCTCTTCCTTTGCTCAGCCCTGGAATGAGGCTGCTGGTATCTACTAGAAACAAACAAGGAACAAATATCTGCCACCTTGTTTGCCAGCTGCAGCACCATAACTCTGCCTAGAAGGGCCCATGCTGCAGACAGGGCTGCCAGTGCAAGAAACAGGTGTCAGTCACAGGCAAGTTTTCAGGCTTGTATTAAAAGACAATCTCAGGTCTTTGTGCTTTGCAAAAGCAGAGGCTGAAGTTACTTTTGCCTCCCCATCCACAAGTCAGGAATTTAGTCGATATCACCTAAAGCATTGGTCTTGCAGCTTTTGTTATAAAAGTGGCCAAAGTCTTCCAGGCATTTTGGTACTTCTGTACAGAGACTTAGGGCAGTTAAGCAACTTGATCAACACGGTCAGAAAGATTTCACACAGCTCCTGGTTTATTGTTCCCAGTGGAAAAAGAGGAACTTTGGACTTTTGAGATAAAGTAACGTCTTTGGTGAGGCTCAGATGCAACAAAAACCAATGGGTCCTTTTTAAGGTTGTGACCCCTTTCCAATCCCATATGCAAAATAGCTCACACAGGTATGACTGTTTCAGCTAGTTTCTAAAACTCCTGTGAAAAACAAGGTTCAATAATAAAAAATAGAAAGATCCAAACTTAGGCAGAGCCTGTCTGAGAGTCCTGGGCCAGCCAGGAACACGGAGGCGTTTGCTTCCTGCGCTAGCTGGTACCCTTCCTGCCCAGCATGGCCCACAAAGCCAGCACAGAACTCCAACTACAAAGTGCTCCTAACAACCTCTCAGGCACCTGTTCAGACCAGCGGGCTGGTATGTCATGCTGAACACACACGGAAACTGCGTCGGTCTCTGCTAAACAAAGAAACACAACAGCATTAATGTCATTTCTGCTTCTCACGAAACCTTCCCCGCTCCTCCAAGCCCTGCCCCTGGGAACCACGTCCATGCTCGTGCCTCTGCTCCTTCCCTTGTACTGAAAGAGAGCTTTCTGGGTTAACAGGCTGGTACTCTTGCAGCAGCTCCTCTCCTAGAGCATTCCCGTCAGGGAGGGGAGGCAAGGAAGATACTTACAGCTTGGTAGGTTCCGGAGCCCCAGGTGACGTCTTTGACTCCACTGCACTGTTGAAGGTCTGGATATTCTCTGAGGAGTAGAGCCCTGCTGGGCTGTTGTACTGGGCAGTGACCACTCTGGGGGCAGAAGCCGTGGCAGCAGTGAAGGGCACCGCGCTCCGGTTGTGTGCGCTTCCTATGTGCCTTATTTCCTGCATGCAAAGGGGCAGAGGCAAAAATCAGAGGTGCTCAGGCAGGTGGGATGTGACGGAGCAGCCCGGAAGGAGCAGCCACTGCTGTGGCAGCCTTTGCATGTGGTGCAAGCTGAGAAGCAGTGACCGTGGCCACCAAAGCAGGTTGAGCATCTGCCACATGTCACGAGAGCCCCCAGTCTCATCCTGGATGGCTTCAGGCTGACCTTCAGGACACTTCAGAACAAGAATGTAAGAGCTCAGAAACACTGCCAGAGGTATCACCTCAATGTGCTGCACACCTAGGAGCTCCTGCAAGTCTACGGTAAGCCACAGGACCTACCTTCTCATGCAAGACTACAGATTTTGAGCATTCTTTGCAATTCCTGACTGGGAAAGAGAAGATGAGCAGCAGAAAGGGAAGCACTCTTCAATGACATCAGAAAGTTTGGCTTTTCTTAGATAAGGGCAACCCAAAAAGAAGGAGTTTGTCATTACTACAAGTGCTCTGGAGCATGTCTACTCCTTCAGCTAAGACTGGGGGTCACAGCTGTCTTTGACAAACAGCTTTGGACTTTCTGGACACGAAATTCCCACAATAAAGGTGGTAAGATGACTCTTGTTAATACAAAAGGCTGTCCACAGGAAGTGACAGCTAACAGCCAGAGGTTTCTTCAGTCCCAGAAATATGAGGTATCATCCAAACGTTCTGGGCTTGCTGCAAACTGGTGGCTTCTGGTGGTGTTAGTGGATACTTAGAAAGGGGCCAAATCCAAATTAAGTTAAGACCCTTCTGAATCACAGCCAGTGGTGACAAGAAGAGGGAAATTTCTAAGCCACATCACTAGTTCAGCAGGATGGGAATTAGCACACTT